GACGTCCTCATGCGAATGTCATGCCCTCCTGAGAAGAGGGGCCTCCTAACTTTTCTTGTATTTTTCCCCCCAAAAAGAAAACAACAAAAGCAAATGTGGGGGAAAAGCGAAGTTGCTGGCATGCTGTCTAAAAAAGAGAGATAGGATAGTATTAATGGTAATAAATTGAAGCGAAATGAAATAAATTGTTTATAATTGAAATAATACTCCCCTTTATCCTTGCTATTACAAGAATAAAAATACTTCTATAACATGACATTGATTTATGTAAAGTACCAGCGTTAAATAATTTTCTTAAGTTATATAAAATAATTAGCTAAAACTTTGGAAAACAACGCTAGAAAATGATTCAAAATTTGGAGCTTACTCACTCTGATTCTTAATATAAAACTCATTTACAACACACATTAGATCTCATCTTATATTAAAATTTAAAAGTATTATTTTTCAAGAGTACTCTCTCTAACTTGTTGACTTGACCAGGAAGAAGAAAGAAGAAGAGGATAGGATAGTAAATTTAAGTGTGGATAGTGATTAAACCTCAAACGAGCTCGCCATCTAATTCACAGAACACAGATTCTTTAAACATCAAACCATTATCTCTCTCTCCCTCTCTCTCTCTCTCTTAAAGGCACAAACTAGCCAACCCATCTAGATTAATATATGGACTCAGTAACTAGAGAGAAGTTAAAACTTCAGAAAATCTCAGGAATTTTGGATCTTTCACCATTTTCTAATTGGACACTGAGTTAAAATAACGGTAACAAAAGAGAAACAAGAAGGTTATTTTCAGAGTGAGACAGAGAGAGAGAGATTTGAATAAATTGCCTGAAAATAGAGGAGGGGTGGATCTGAAGGTAACAGTAAAAGGAAGGTAGAAGCAAATAAATATCAGCATCTATCATCAGAGAAACCACACAAACCAACCCAGCTCATCATAGTCAAGTCTACCACTAAGTGTTAAATTATTATTACTTTACAGCCCCACGATCATTATGCTTTATTCCTATAAATAACAACTTTATGATGAAGAACAATATTAAATAGCTCCCCCCCCCCCACTAAATCACTGGTACAATCCTTATTAATCAACCCAACGCTTAGTTTGGTGGCTATTAAATATCTTTTTCCTTGCACAAAAAATAGCCGCACATGGTGTTTGTGCGTACATGAAATTCAAAAAGTAACTCACGCGATCATTTATAAATTACAATACAAGTCCAACTTAATTTCTGCTCTTACTTTTATACTTATACCCTTGTTTGCATTTCTACTATTCCCACTCTGCTTTGATATAATTGATCATGTTAATACAATCTTTAGTCCTTTAAATTTATACTCATTTTAATTTTAGTCTCTCAAATTTCAAATAATAGGTTTTGATTCCTCAAGGGAAAAATAGTCCAGGTTATTATTAAATTATAAGAACCAATGTTTTAGATGGAAGAAAACCCAGGAGACCAAAATCCAAATGAAAACAAATAAAAATTATATTAACCCTAATTTATATTGTACATACTTTTGTAGGAATCTTTTCTGACCTAATAAACATATGCTTTGCTGGGAAAATAATTAACTGGAAGTCATTTATGAGTGATATCTCTCTTCTTGCAAGTAATGTACTTATGTAGGATGAGTCTTAGTTAACAAGGAAATATTTATTAATTTCCTTTTCAATATATGGTAGTGTCATAATTCATTTCTAAATTTTTCTAAAGCTATAACTTGAACTTTAATTAGTTCATACTTTTCCAATATGCTTGATGACAACTTTATACCAGCTGTATGGTGTCGTCACATAACCAACACAATCTATAGAAGAAAATATGCAATTAAAAACTAAATCCTTCCACAAACCGTGGAAGCCCTGGAAGTGAAATGCAGCGAAGCTTCAGATAGGAAAAGGCATGGCAAACGACAAATTGGGGTGGGGGTTGGTTTCACTCTCTTCACTTATTGCTTCGTTGAACTTTGATCTTTTAAATATTCTTTGCATGATGTGATATTTCAACCGTGTTTTTTCACTGATAGCAATCCCGAATCTTATCGTATGACACAAATTTTATTTTTTGTCATATGTAATTCTTTTTTTTTTTTTAACTAGGCATAGGTATTGTGCTACGAAAACAATCATGTTCAAGTCACTGTGAAACATTAAATGTGGCCTCTCAAATAAGTCACATTCATTCAAATAATTATCGTATGCGTGGGATAGAAAAAAAAAAAAAACTAATACATTTGTTGCCTAGGTCTTCTATTTGGCAACCCATATAAGAAATTAAAAAAGGTATTTTCACACAAGTTGAGACAATTTATCTCACATATTTACTTTGGACTTTATAAAATTATTTTTAAAAAGCTAATCCAAATTCCATTAACTTTGTTGACAAGAGACACACTTCTTTTTTTTTTCTTTTTTTTTTGTAAAACCACTTAATGTTTTTAGTTTTTAAGTGTAAGGTCGTACGTTTAAACCCTTAATAGAAAGTATAACAGAGATGTGAGTGGTAATAAAAAGATGATAATGCAATTTTGCAATAGCTATTTAAATTTTAAAAACTAAAAACATATAATCCAAGTGTGTAATATGCATAGTATTGAAGACCGAACTAGACCAGAAACAACTGGTCACCTGGTTGGTGGCAAAAACCAGCAGTGGAGTCAACTCGAGGGGTGACTTGATGTAACCAAGCTAACCCAACCGGTTTGATGGGTTAACCTGTTTATATATATATATATATATATATATATTTAAAAATGTTGTTTTAATACGAAAAAGGATTATTAGTTTAGTGACTAAAGGATTGTAGATAGGAATATTTTGTTACCATAAATCTATTTTGATATTTTGCTAGAATAAATATTTAGTGATTTTAATAGTATGATATTATAATATCAATTTGTTAAGAAAATTGTAGAGAAATTGAAAAGAAAATATAAGTATATGATTATTTTGTTAGAGATTCAAAGTACTAAATTAATATTTAGTCTTTTGGATGGCTTCATAAGAATTTAAATTAACTTTTAATTTTTTTATTCCTCACTAGTTTGACCCCAACTCTGATCTAACCCACTAATATTTAATCTACTGTCTTGACCAGTTTTTCAGTTTCTTGGTAATATGACATACTCATTTCATCTAGAAGATAAAGTAACCAGTATAAACATCACAAGAAGATAAAGTAACTGTTTAAAGTGGGACAGTGATGCTTTTTGTCAATTAAAAGATAATAACGTGTGTCGGAAACATTTGGACCAAAAATCAAAACAACTTGCTCTTGCCTTTGAATTTTCAAAATAAAAGAAATAACAATTTAAACAAAACAATACTATATATAAGGGACCTCTTGGAATTATGAGATATAAGATAAAAAAAATAGGATGATAGTATATATTGAAAAGCCTATATCTCCGTCTCTTCTTATCCGTATATAATGCGCTTTATGCATGCATTCTCTCCGCTATACCTTTTTCGCTTACTTTTCATGAGATGGCGTGTGCAATGGGACGGGAAAAAAAATTGGGACAAGACAAAACAGTGACCGGACAAGATGGGAAGCGGGACGAGTAATACCTCATGGTTGCATTAAGGCCCTACCACAAAAAAACACTGATTTATCGACAGAATTACCCACAAAATTAGGGGTGTGCATGAGGCCCGCATGCCCAATAAGCCCGCCCGAGCCCGCAAGAAAAGCGCCCAGCCCAGCCCAGTAAAAAGCTGCCCAAGCAAAAATGGGCATCTTCGGGCTGGGCTGATTCGCGGGCAGGGCAGGGCCGCGGGCAGGGTATGTTGCCCTGCCCATTTGGCCCTGCCCGAAAAAATATATAATTATATATATAAGATAATATTATTTTAAGCAATTATCTCTTTTGTTTTGGCCAAAAAAATTAGGTAAAATTAGAAAAAATGAAAGGAACATAAAATTATAATTATATAAAAGAGCTAAATATCAAAATATAAGATTCAATATGCTAAATTACTCCAAGTCAAATTTCTTTCTTTTTCTCTTACATCCAATTTTTTAAAACAAAAAAGAAAAAGAAAAATAAAACCACCTTTCAAATTTTGTGCTTTCACATGATTATAAAAATCTGCCAACTATATGAATAAACTAAGGAATTGAACTACTGATTTAGCTTGATTATTAAATGTTCTAATTATTAAATATATTTTTTTTTACCTCCCATAAGAAATTGAAAGTTGAAGAACAAGACTACATAGGCCTTATATATATATGAGTGATAGACTCATTCGTGATAATTTTTTTCCTCTCCCTTGTCTCAAAACACGATAATTGAATTTTTTTTTCTACATATGATATAAGGCATGGTGTCATTACGCTGGGCAGAAAAGCCCGCCCTGCCCAGCCCGTCCTTGCCCTGCCCAAAATGGTTAGGGCTTCTACTGGGCAGGGCCGGGCAGCGGGCTGCAAAACGCAGCCCGCTCATCTTTCGGGCTGGGCATCGGGCAAGGGGTTTGCCCTGCCCAGCCCTGCCCATGTGCAGCCCTACAAAATTACTGATGGAAACCAAAATTACCGACGGATTTGTGGCGGGCAGGAATTACCGATGGAAAGCATTCCGTCGGAAATTTTTCCGTCACTAAATCAATTTGCGATGGAATCATAAATTCTGTCGGTAATTTCCGACGGAAATTCCGTCAGAAATTACCAACGGACATTTCCGTCACGAAATTTGTGACGGAATATTCCGTGACTGATTAGCCATGGAATTTCAGACGGAATTCTGTGGCTAATCAGCCAGCCCACGGATAATTCCTGTGGCTAAATCCGTGGCAAAATTGCTTCCCTTCAATTTTTTTTTGTGCTATTTTAATTTGATCAATTGTTTTTTTAAGAGGGAATGAAAGATAATTGAATTTGTTAAAAAATCAAACATGCTATTAAAAGATACACACACACACATATATATATAGAGTCTTTCCCACATCCAAATGCTTCAAATGTCAAGTGTCTAGTGTGAAAAAAAGATAGAAATAATAATAACAACTGTCAACTATCATTTCCTAAATTTATATTGCTGCTAGAGGGCTCAGATAGTTTAATTCCCATTCCTTCCAATGCAGACATGATTTTGTTATAATTTTCTCTCATCTCTTGATGCTCCTGTTTGATTTGCTGATTCTCCTATGTAAGCTCCGTTATCCTCATGCGCAATTCAGTTTCAACATTGGCATTCATACTTGTGCTGTTAATGGAAGGAGAAGACCTCTGGGTACAAATATCATTATCAGCCTTAGACCCAAATCCATAGATGCGGCCCTTCTTGTTTTTGCCACCTATAACATCTAACCATATGTTAAATTCTTCCTGATTAGATTGTATGCTTGGAGAGCCTCTTTCAGAACTTAGTTCTATCTTTCTTCTTATGAACTCATCCTATAAAACAAAATGACGACAGGAGTATATGATAAGTGCATGTTATGGAAGGCAAGATTCTTTTCAACTTAATCCCAACAACAACCAGACCAAGTCAAGTCCAAAAATAAAATTGCACTAAGGATAAGAAAAGATACTATAATTCATTAATTTCCAGCATATGATGACATATTCACCAATTCTATCCCAAAAAAAAAAAACAGGGTATAGGAAGTTCCTATAAGTAATTGGGTGTGAGGGCCAAATGAATGGACAGTGGGAAGAGAACATGGAAGTTTTGAAATGAAAGGAAAGATAACTGAAAATAAAAAATCCTAAATACTATTTAAAATCCAGAAGAACTATTTAATAGTATTGGAAAAAGAACACCGTATCAAACTTCAAGACTCTCTTCACTCAAAGCTCGGGTTTTCTCAAGCTTAGAACTTATTCTTTAAGGCTATATCCACCAAAAATTTGATATACTAATATGCATTTATATATAAAAAAAATACATTGCATGAGTTTGATACACTGCTACCAACGTTATTGGACATTAATATATAGTTAATATATAGGTACCACTTTTGCATTTCCTCTTTTTCTATGCAACGACTACCCCAATATCGGTGCCTTTGCAACACAATATTCGAGAGTCAATACACAAAGCAAAACACTTCTTTTTTTTTTCTTTACCTGGTTAAAGAAGTCAAGTTTTGGCAATATACTTATTAGAGAGGTTTAGGTATAGAACTATAAATATAAACCTGTATGGTCTATCTCACATGGTAGAATATTGCCTAATGATCAGTAGTGGATCGGGAAAATATATATATACATATATATATATATATATTCCAATTGAGATCGATGAGTTCACCTTATACTAGGGATAATATTTTTTTAATAACCTTGGGCATGGCGTACTCTTTCCCAAACTTCCTCTCCACTTAACCGGGGTGGAGGCATTGAGTTCTCAGCCCTATTTTTATAAAAAGAGGTTTTATTTCTCCTGAATGGGTGATTGTTGGGAAGAAATTGGCGATGATAATCAAAGAAAGATGATTTTCGCCCATGCTTCAATTGGAATGCTTTTGACTTCTCCATACATATAGGACGTGATAATCTTCCCATTGTTGTCCAACTAGACAACATATCATAAGCAGGAAAGTCATTGATTGTCCATAGTAAAGCAGCACGCATACAAAAGTTTTGTTTCAATGAGGCATCATATGTTGGCACCCCTTCGTCTCACAATAATTTTAATTCATCTATTAAAGGTTGCAAATACACATCTATTTTTCCTTTAGGATTACTAGGGCCAGGGATGATCAAGGTCAAGAACATGTATTCTCGTGTCATGCACATCTCAGGTGGTAGATTGTATGGAGTAATAATCACAGGCCAACAAGAATATTATCTCCCAGATTGCCCAAATAACGTAAATCCATCAGCACATAACCCAAGCCTCACATTTCTGGGATCATATGCAAAATCTGGATATGTGCTATCCAAAACCTTTCATGCCTGGCCGTCAGAGGGGTGAGAAAGGATATTAGAACCTCGACGGTTCTCATAGTGCCATCTCATTTCCTTTGCAATTTTTCCAGAAGCAAACAACCTTTGCAATCTAGGAATGAGAGGTAAGAACCATAATTGCTTTCTTGCAATGTTTTTTTTCCTTCCATGACATTTTTTGGACAAATATCTTGTCTCGCAACAAAAATTTACATTGGGTTGCACTATCATCGACTTTATAGTACAACATACACCCATTCACACAGCAATCAATTTTCTTGTAATCAAGACCTAGTTTCGACACTAACTTCTTTCTTTGGTACAAGTCTATAAGCATACGAGTGTCTTTTGGCTGCGTCTTTCGCATTAGTTCAAAGACTAAACTGTAGCTTTGTTGTGACATGTTCGTTGTTGCTTTAATACTCAGTAATTGTAAAGTCACTGAAAGTTGAGATTCCTCCTCACACCCTTCCCACAAAGGTTGTTGTGCAGCACGCAACAAGTCATAAAATGCTTTTGCACTAGGATTTGGCATCTCCTCAGGTCGTTCATTATAGTTATCCCAAAAACTAGGCCCAGCTGCATCTATTACCATGGTCTCATATTGATTTTGCTGGTTACCAAGTAGGACATCTCTTGGCATTGGGCAAAGGGGTAAAGGATATTCGGGTCATCGTTCGCCGTGACTAGTCCATATATAGTAGTCTGGCATAAATCCTTTTTTTATAAAGGTGTGTCTTCACCTCATCATAACTTAGATATGACCTACATTTACATTTTAAACATGGACACCTGAGCTCTCCTGATGTTTGAGAATAAAGAGATTGAAATGCGTAGGTAAAAAACTCCTCAACACCTCGCTTGAAATCTACTATAACCCATTTAGTACTTGGATCAATTCTATTATACATCCATCTTCGATTTTCTGGAACTACCATTATAATGGAGAAGAATCCGATGTAAATTGTTAGAATCAAAAGCAAACAAGGTACATATATGTAGTTTCCAATGCAAAGATTAAAGGAAATATTTTAGAAAAATCGTTACCCTTTTTTATAAACAACTAATTTAACAATATATCTTTTAATATTTATAAATTAGTTATTTAATTCCACCTGTTTCATGTTACCAAAATTTTTTTGATAATATCTATTTTTCATGTTATACAGCATTAAGGTAGAATAATGTGAAGCGTAATTAACGTTATTCTGCCTAAAATACCTATTGCGTTTAGGGAAGGTCATAATGAAAGTCTATTTTGCATTCATTTAAGGGCATGATTAGAAAGTTCACAAGATTTATAAGAACATTAATTACCTTTAATTGTCTTTTTTTACTTTGTGTTCTATGAGGTGATTAAAAATAACTAAAGAGGTGTACGCTGAAACAACGATAACAAGAAGGATGGATTTGTTGGCCGAAAAAGAAAAACAACAACAGGGATGGATTTAAATGTGAGAAGATAAGGAAGTGTATATGTGTGTGTGTATCTTTTAGAGTCAATTTAAAAGAGTAGGAATTAACTTAAAATTATTAGGAAATCATTTGTGTGAGAACGCATTTAAGGGGAAAAGTTGAAATAATGTTCAACTCGAAGACACGCTATTAGGGGAAGAAAGATGCTCTAAGATAAGAAGAATATTACTCATTTAGCAGAATAGAATCAGATTTAGCAAAATAGAATGTTCAACTCAAAGATGCTCTGACTTTAATCCTACAAAGTCATGGGGGTGGAGCATAGAATCAGATTGGCATTAAGATAACAGAAAGCCTTCTCAAGACTAAACAACACTCAACACGACATATGTGACAAGAAGAGAATTGCTGGTCTAAAATTGCACACCACAACATTAAGCAAACAGAGCCAATGTATTCAGCAAAATAGGACCAAAAATCGTATAACTTACATTCAGCAAAAGGTTGTGACAAGAAGAGAATAGCTGGCCTTGAAGCAAGAAAAGATCCCATAGCTACTGTAGAGAAAACTCCCACAACCAACAAGAAAATTTATCCTCAACTCTCATCCACCCAGTATAGCAAAAGAAAATAAGATTTCAAATTATTAGAGATATGAAATTATTACAGATTGAATGAAGAAGCAAGATTAGGGGACCAAAAATCATATATATAACTTACTGAAGACTGAAGCACGAACAGCGACCTGAGCTTAAAAAGCATTCATTCCCCCTGGAGCCTGAACCCCGTGACTTCATACCTCAATCGTAGCCGCAATCAATCTACGCCTCAAACTCTCTTAACTAGCACAGGGGTTAATTAATCTCCACATCAAGGAGAAGAGCAGAGATCTTTGTTGAAGACAACACGGCAATGATGAAGTACTGGAGGAAGAAGTTGAGCTCGATGGTGATAATGAGGGATGCCATCACCGTCGAAGCTTGATGAAGGAAGAAGTCACGGCTTTTGGTGTGGATGAAGGGAATGTCAATGTTGGCTGACGACGATGATGAACAATTTGGATGATTAATGGCGTACTGGTGGTTAGGATTCCACAGGAAGAAGCCGCCGTTACCTTCGCCCTTAGCAGTCACGCCGAAGAAGAAAAAGTGATTATGGTACCCTAGCAAGTAGCCGAGCTCATTCAAAGTCAAAATGCTGCACTTTTGATTTTCACTCATTTTCTTTTATTTTTTTTAACTTTTTCCAGCTTTTTAAACTCCACCAAAAAAAATTAGCTACGTATCATCTTTCAGGTAGACAAAGGGTGAAATCCAAATAATATGAAAATCAAATTGATTAATGATACTCATAAAATTTTTTATGGTTTTGTTTTTTTCTCCCTAATCATTTTTCAGAATTTTTTTATCTAGATATGTCACTTAAAGTAAATAATAATAAAAATAGAAGTTATTAAAATTAAGAGAATGGAAAATTCAGATATAAAAATAAATCTGAATACTATTGTATATCTAAGCATTTAATATTTTAAGAAACTGAAATTAATAACAATTTAAGAAAAAATATTTATAAAACTTTTCAACTGTATTTATTAAAATAAATTAAAATATGTTTTTTACATTTAAATATATTTATAAAAAATATACATAGCAATAATTTATTAAAAAAAAAGAAAGAAGAAAGTCCAATTAAAAGCCCCACGAAGGCAAAAATAAAAGTTAACTATTGCTAGCATTATTCATCTACACGAATAATTTTGTTTAATTGTTTGTTTAGTTATATAAAATATCTTTTATTAATAATAAATAATTTTTATTTGATTTGAATAATTTTTTTGTCAATATTGATGACAACAAACTATAAAGAATTTTAGTATAAATTAAAAGGATTATAGAAAATATACTAAAGGGGGTATGATAAGAGGAAGTGTATGGATCTAATTGGGGATAATTTAGTATTTTTAAATTTATATTTTGATATTTGGTCCCTGTAAACAATCATAATTATTAAGATCCTTCCCAATGAATATTATTTTTTCAGATCCTTCTTTCTAAATTTTTTTTAAATAAAACTACAAGGTAAAATACGATTTTATCAGTGTTACAAAAGAAGGGTTAATCGTTGGAAGAAAGAGAAGAAAATAGTTAATATTTTTTGCAAAAATTAAGTCTCAAATTAAATGGGTTAATGGAGGGAAGGTGAAAATCTTTTGAGGGAGAATAAATTTATCCTTCTAATAAATGAATTATGGTTTCTTCAAACAAAAGATGGACAAAATTACATTTTATAAATTCTAAGTTTAAATTTAAGTCTTACTATTTTTCTCATACAAGAACAATAATATTATAATATTTCGCCAACCTTTTCTCAATCTATATCTAGCCAACTTGATATTAATGTTGACATATTTTTTTGGTATAATTTTATTAATATTATTTTGTATTAAAAATGTGCTTTGGCTATCAGATATGGTGGACTAACTTTTAAAAAATAAAAGCAAGAAAAAAAGAATAAGCTATTTTCATATTTACTATTTTTATTTACATAACATTCTAATTTTTATTTATTACTAATTCGTTAAATATATGTTTTTTATGTTATAGTAGGTATCCTTTGAAATGATTTGATATTTTTTAATTTAAAAATGTCCATCTATTTTTAAAAATAGATAATATATTTATATATAATATAATATTGACAATATCTAATTACATGAAGTTGTGGAGTAAAAAAGAAGAATAATGTTGTCATGAATAAATTACAAAAGATGATGCTTAGGATTCATACATCTTTTACATTTTAATAAGGATTGCTATAAATCACTATCATGTACAATCAAATCATCAAGCATTTTGTTTGATTAACAAGACTTATAATTTTTTAATCAAAATTGTTGAGTCCAAATTCTCAAACTATATGTTAAATATTTGGTAGGAGAAATTTTTTTTTTCAGTTTTATGAAACTAAATACTAATAAGTTAGCAATATTGTTATACATGATTCCATGTAAATATTTGCTTTGCACCTATTATATTCTTCATATGATATTATCTCAAGATTAGTAAATTAAAATTCAATTTTGTCTCTAAAATTTATTCTTCTATATTATGATCAATAATATTCAGTTAATTATTACCAAAAAAAAATAATATTCAGTTAATTTGAAATAGTCACAATCAACCAATAACTCAAAAGTAATTTTTACTTTTTCATACTTAAGGCAATCAAATGCATTGATTGAATTATTATGATTCACCACACTTCTAGGATTTCACTATGTTCTTTTACAAAATTTTTATTTGTTTTTTCTTACATAATGTAGTCTTTTACCTCACAAAAAATAGAATCACTACATTTTATTTTAAGAATAAAGATATGAAATTTTGGGGAAAAGAAATTCACTTTTCCGACAGAATTAGCCACGGACAACATTCCGTCAATAATTTCCGTAAAAAATATGTCCAAACTTCTGTGGGTAAATTTAGTGACGGATTTTCTAACCGAATTTGCCATGGAATTGCAATGGAAATTACCGACGGAATTTTTCCATGGCAAATTCTATCGGAAAATTATTTTACCGACGGAAAAATTCCGTCGATAATTTCCGACAGAATTCCGTGGCAAATCCTATCGGAAAAATTTTACCGACGAAAAATTCCGTCGGTAATTTCCGACGGAATTCTTTGGCAAATTCCGTCGGTAATATTTCCGACAGAAATTCGCACAGTTTTCCGAAGGATTTTTGCGACAGAATTCATTCTGTCAGTAATTCTGTCAATGATTCAATGTTTTTTTATAGTGCCCCAATCCCACATGGCGTGTCTCACGCGTGACAATGAAAGAAAAGCATTACACAAAAGAAAAAATTATTGTAAAATTTTAGGAAAAGAATGTTATCATTAAAAAATCTTAATTTCAATTAGTAGTGTAGATTTATTATTATTTTCTATATTAAAATTTGTTATAGCATCTTACTCACTAATCATGAATTTTTTTCATGATTATATTCTTTAAGTGATTTTGTCAAAAAGAGAAAAAATTGTGGGGTTTTCCAAGTTTATTATAAATTTTGTACATGTATTTTTTCACTAAATTATATAAAACTTTTATAAATTTTGTATCATAAACAAGGTAAAAAAGAGACCGGATACTAAATCGGTTGAGGTAATACTTCAAGAGTTAGTGGGTCAGATCAGGATCAAATCAACCACATTAAAATAATATAATTTAATTAAAAATAATAAATATAATAACATTAATAATCACTAATAACAAAATATAAGAAAATATAATAATAATTTGCTTGTAATAATAATGAAGTACAACAACATTGACAATGTTCATCTTTATAATTCTTTAATAACTAAAATTAATAATTGTAACATTCTAATTTTGTTATCTTTCAAGTTTAAGCAATATTTATTATGATCGAATTAACAAAGGTTGAATATATATATAAAAGAAATTAAAATAATTATGATCTTATGTATTTGTATATATATGTGTGTGTGAATAAATGAATAAAATAATAATATTAAGAAGTCTCACATTAACTAAATGATGAGAAGATAGACAAAATATCAATGTTGAGAAGTCCCACATCGACTAAATGATAAGAAGATGGAGTTCTAGAAGCCTATATATAGGTGGTGGTAGGGAAGAGTTAAAAATGAGTTAAATAATTTTTTATTTCAATGGTTGGATAGTTAATATGATCTTTGAGGTATGAGTTGTTAAGCACACTTTGAATTTATTTTTCATAGATAGAACGTTGAATAGTAAATTATCATTTTTAAGTATTTTCACTATTGGATCGAATTACAATTTGGAGAATTGATTTATGACATCTAAGATGTTAAATTCAATAGTGGGATCATTAATTAGGCTCTTTTAGTAAGAATAATTTAACTCATATTAAATCTGTTTATTTGAGATTTTCAAGGATAGAAGTAACTTATGAATTAGGAGTTCTCTATTTAGGTTAGAAATTTGGTGACTCTAATGATATAATTTAATAATTAAAGGAATAAGTTAAGAAAATTGAGGAATTGAATCTAAACCCTCAAATACACACACACACACACAATCTCACTCTAAACCTTAGAAAAAGCCTTTCAAGTTAAAATTCTGAGTAACAATTGAAGGTCTTAGAGAGAGAGTTAAAGATTAGAAATTTGTCAATAGTTTACTCTAATCTTGTAGAGATAATGTTTTAATTTCATTTGTAGATATACATGCTATTGTGACATTTTTTTAGTACGGACCTCGTTGGTATTTGACTGTTAGCTAGGAGATCAAATAATTGAATTTCTATTTGTTGCATATTTTGGTATGTGTTGGTAAGTGATTTTTTATAATTGAATTCTTCTATATAAATTTTTATTTGCATAAACTATCTTGTGGGATAATGTTTTGAAGGGAACTGAATAAAGTGAGTTTGGAAATTTGATCTTTGGGATATAATGAGTTGGTTAAAGTTTTAATGAGTTATGTTCCTGTATATGTGTGTATCCATTTGCATGTTTTGAATCATGCATGTGCATTTAGTATGGGTTGTGGAGGAGGTGATCAAAGTTATTGAGATCTAT